GATCCTATTCATATATGGAACCTCATTTGCCATTTGCCGTGGGAGGGCTGCCTGGGCTGTGAGGCAGCCCTCCAGAAGAGGATCGCGGCGGAGGTAAGTAAATCTCACCTCCAGGGGCTCAAAGCTGTTACGGCGTTCTATGCCGCCGCAACGGCTTTAAAGCCCTTTAAAGCCGGGACGGCATAGAACGCCGTAACGGTGTTAAGGGGTTAAAACATTGGTCATATGCAAATGTACGTCTCCTTAAAATAAATGTGCTCTTTTGTTTACTTTGAAGCCCTTTGAGCGTGAAGATGTAGTGTCAGTTAAGCAACTTTTTTTTTATACTGTACTTTTCTAAATAAACCTACGTTTCTATAAAGAAAAAAAAAAAAGTAGGAGTGTATAATGAGTAACAAAGTATAAATGTTATCATACATGTACAGCGAAGAGAATGGATACCTATATACAAATGTTAACCAAATAGTACATAAGAGAATCTATTGAACCTATTGAAGCACATGCTCCCTTGATAAAGGTGTACAGCGCCAAAACGTTGGGGGCTATTCTGTGACTTTCTCACCCTCCTCTCATTCGCTTTAACCCCTTAAGGACCCATGACATGTGTGACATGTCATGATTCCCTTTCATTCCAGAAGTTTGGTCCTTAAGGGGTTAATAGGTTCAATTGGTTCTGGTATGTACTATTTGGTTAACATCTGTATATAGTTATCCATTCTCTACGGTATTTGGATTAGTACCATTTAGTCTGCATATTCAAGATTGATACTTTCTTATTTTTTTTGGGGTCAGAGCCTTCATATTGACTGTACATTATGATTTTATTATTTATATAGCGCCATCAGATTCCGTAGCGCTGTACATGTATGATAACATTTATACCTTGATTTATAGATTGGATACTTGGTGATACCTGTTACTTTTGTACCTGTACGATAAAGTGCTTTGTATTTTAGCTGGCTGTACTCCTCATTCAGTACTAAATTATACTGTATCATTAGCCTTTGGAAATAGGCTTTCTGAGTGAGCACCCTTATCTGTATATGGCTGACAGCTGGGTGTGCCCACCATTTTCTTGTTAATAATAATTATATGGTTATACATACAATTTTGATAAAATATCCTCCTGACTCCAAAATGTCAGTTTATTTTCTGTTTTGATTCACAAACTGTTACCCTAAATATTAACCTTTTATATCATTGAATATTAAGTATTTTCTAAAAAAAAAACAAATAATAATTCTACAAATCTGTAAATCTGTCAAAAATTTCTGGAACCCCCTCCCCCCCCCCAACTATTTTCACACAACACCATATCTTTTTTTTTTCTTACTGTAAAGAACCCTTTACTCTGCTATCAGAAAAATTTCTTTCTTTTCAGTGAATCACTAATTAGCATTGTTTGGTGGTTGGATGAAGCTGTCACGATTCGGGGAACCCAACACGCTGGCACACACACACACACACACACACACAAAAGGTGCCGTACCGGACCTTAGAGTGGCCGGGCTAAGCACACACAGAATAGTCAGGAGACAAGCCGAGTAAAGGGGAACCAGAAGACAGAATAACGTGAAACGAGCCGAGGTCAAAGGGTAGGAGAAAGTCACAGAGTCAGATAAACAAGCCAGAGAGTACGTAACCAGAAGCACAAGGTAAGTAGCAATACTAGCAAGCAAAGACCACAACAGGGCAGGGAGGAACAGGAAAGGTAAGTATTTAAACCATCAGGTTAATTCTGATTGGATAATTTCCAATCAGAATTAACAATCACACGTGGGAGATATTTAGACCTCCCACTGTGATTGAGGCACTGTGCCTTTAACGCCGGGTCAGGTGACTGACCCCGGCGTGTATAAACCTGGGCGGTCTCCCAGCGTGCAGCGTCATGCATGCTGCCGCTGGGGGACGTGGAGGGAACGGCGGGCGGCATCCGAGGCTGGAAGGACGCCGCTCGCCGTACCCACGAGGCGGAGGGGACCGCGGACGGCTGGAGGGTGAGTACTGCGAGCGGAGTGCAGCATCCCCTCGCAGCCGCCCGCGGGAGCCCGACAGAAGCATGCTGGTCTGTTTGGAGGTAGGATGACAAATGTTCGTCCATTTGGTGGTTAGATGGCCCATGCTGGTCTGTTTGGTGGTTGGATGGTGCATGCTGGTCTGTTTGGTGGTTGGATGGTACATGCTGGTCTGTTTGGTGGTTGGATGGTACATACTGGTCTGTTTGGATGTAAGATTACAAATGTTGGTCTATTTGGTGGTTGGATGTCCCATGCTGGTCCGTTTGGTGGTTGGATGGCCCATGCTGGTCCGTTTGGTGGTTGGATGGTGCATGCTGGTCTGTTTGGTGGTTGGATAATGCACGTTGGTCTGTTTGTTGGTTGGATGACACACATTGTTCCGTGTGGAGGTTGAATGATGTATACTGATTTCTTTGGTGGATGGAACATGCAGGTTGGTCCATTGGGTGAAGACAGAATGAATTACAATTGTGTTCTTTCAGTTTTATCTGCTGCTCACCGAGTTTCAATTTAGCTTATAGTACAGCCACAGAAAGTAGATCTGAAAAAAGAGATTTAATGTGGTTTTAAAATTCTCCAGTCAGTTAAAACCCAATACAGTATGAAGATAATGAGAAATAAAAGAAATTGGCAAAATAAATATGAAAACCACAAGAATTACATAAAGGGCAAATATCAGCAAACATTGAGTGCAATCGGTCACATTAATCCGATAATTGTTTCCTCAGTGCATTTGTTTACAAATGTTGGGTAGCATGTAAAAATAATACGGAAAATCCTATAATAAAAATACCTAGAGACTAACAACCCCCCAAAAAAGAAAAAACAACAACCTAAAAAAAGAAATTGCTACCCAACTATGTAAACAAATGCACAAAGTATACAATGTCACCATTTAAGCCATTCAATGATCAAATTGTTGTTATATTTTTAAATGTTATACTTTTAGATTTGTATGTATTTCATTAATATCCTTAGGTTTGTCTTAGAGAATAAAGTCCTGATCGCAAGAGGGCAACCCTACCACCCGAACGGGTATATAGAGCCTTAGCAGTAGGTCGGTAATCGCCTATGCTCTCTGAAGAAGTGAAAACCTCTCACAAAATGCATAGGAGCGAACGATTACCGATCTGTCCTCTTTTGTTTCTGACACCTTTGAGATCCAGTCCACCCTTCCTCCCTAAACGGCACAGCGGCACCTGGCGGGATATACAGGGGGATACAGCAACAGCCGCGAGCTGGAACTAAAATAATACATACTGGACCACAGGTCTAGCTCAGGAGAATACAAACTACTTGGACTTACTACTCCTATTATTCTAAACCACAAGCCAGGCACAGGGGGTCTCCAAGCAGGTCAGAAAAACACTCTGAAGGTCATTAAGACAAACCCACACAACACATCAGCTATGTGTACACAGCCTATGTGTTTTTATTGAGTTCTGCTTATACCTGATAAGTTCCAAAATTTATATTTATGCTCTCTGCAATACTTTTTAAACACATTGTATACACAGACTGTGTGCAGCGATCTGTGGAGCTAACAGGAGACGTTTCTAAGCTCGCCTCTCTCCAGGGGAGCAGACAGTCCGTCCTAGTTGGACATGCAGCATAAATTGGATGGATCTCACACAGAGAAGGAGGAAATAAAAATGGTTCTTTGACATCTTAGAACTGGAAGGCAGACTTATAATGTTCAATTATTTTTTTTTACTCTCTGTACCATAGCCAGTAACCCTTTACATAGTCTGGGTCATTACTAATAACTCTTTATGTAGGCCCGGTTCTTTTGCTTTTTAAGCAGTTTCAAGATTCTAAAGTCACAGGACTGCAACGTCAATTTTGCATGAAACTATTTCTCTGGCAAAGCGCACTCTTTAAAAGGCGACATATTAATTGTATGCGTATCAGAGAGGAAGAGAAGAAGATATGGACTATTGAGTAAAAGGGTCGATCGGTGGGGTATTGAGAAGGTTGTAGAGCAAGGGGGAGAACAGAAGGGCGAGGAGGGAAAAGAGCGAGGGCCACAAAGTGCAAGGTGACCAGGCAATCTATACTGAAATAACCTCTATGTCTAGAGATTGTGGGTTTATTCACTAAATCTGAATTGGAACCAAGTGACATCTAAATGGCAACATTTAGGGGAAAGTAGCTGATATGGAGAAATTCTCTATCTCAGGTATAGCATACCTCAGCTATTTTAGACCGGGTTTTGTCATTTGGATTTAATTTGCTGAAAGTCTAATTTTAGTCAGTAAGCCTGCATGTGTATTGGTAAAATATTATTACATATCAATTTCTAGAATTCAATTGAAATATTACTTACTTTGATCCTTTCGTTTTTCCTAAGACAAAGAGAGTAAAGATGTTTGTTAGATAAAATGTATTGACACTGTAATAATAACCACTATAAGAAAGGCTTGTATGGTTAGATATTCAGATAAAATAATTCTCAGAAGAATATGTTGGAACTCTACAAATAAAATAAAAATTACTGATTGGGCTGAGAATTGGGGTGAATTTATAAGAGAATTGGAAATTGTAACCTAAATTTACTGTATTAGAAAATCTCTAATTCATTATTTCTCCAACCTTTTGGGCTTTAAATGTGAAATTCACACAATTCTCCACAATTGATGGGTTTCTTGAATAAACCTTCTCATGTTTAGTCTGACAAGCTTTGGTGACAAGGCCTGTCACTGGGTCCAGCCCAATCTCTGGTCATGTTTCGTTATATAGTGCAGCCAATGGTTTTACTCCTAATGGGTCTGGCATTATTCAAGAATCCGCTACTAGGAATTGTTGCAGTCTCGTCACTTGTTCATGTTTTTGGGGTGTTACAATGTCATTGTGATGATTTGTGGTTTTCAGGAATAGATCATGTTTAGATGTTCTCCTCATTCATATCAACACTGATAAAGTAGCGCTGGAATGGGGAGCTATACTTAGTGCTCTGGGGTCACTGAGGGGTGGAAGTGAGAAGTTGGACCTACTAATGGTGTTTGGAAGCTACGGTTGTCTGACTTTTTGAAACAGCTAAAGCATATTTTCTGACTGTACAACCACACGATCTGTCATAGAGATTTCACACCTATCTTCTGATTCATCTTTTATTGGGCCTACTGATGCCTGTTTTCTGAATGAGCGTTCAACTATGTGATCTGAATCCCAGATGACTATTGTTCTGACTCACCTTTTATCTTTTTACTATGCTTTGGAGTGTCCATGTTATTCTTGTGTTTTGTAGACATTTTTGATGCTGCAATAAATAAAGAGACATAAAAACATGATTATAAATCCCAGAGTTTTGTAGAAATCAGTCATGTTTAATGTTTTGAGGAGGCAGGGTTGGATTGGGGAGATATACTTAGTGCCCTGGGGTCACCGAGTGGCAAAGGGGGAAGCTGGGCCTACTAATGGTGTTTGGAAGCTACGGTTGTCTGACCTTTGGAAACATCTGAAGCTGACGGTACTCCCACACGATCTGTATCTTCTTCTGTATCTCGTTTTACTTCTTCACCATGTTTTGGGGTGACCATGCTCGTTTTTTTTTTTGAACGTCCTATCACGGTTGTAAATAGACACAACAATATGATTATCAAGCTATGTTTTGCAGTAACCAGTCGTGTTCAATCTTTTTCATTTTCGATATTGCATAGCACTGAGAAGGCAGGGCTGGATTGCGGAGATAAAGTTAGGGCCCTGGGGTCAGCAAGGGGTAGAATGGGGAAATTGGGCCTACTGATGGTGTATGGAGGAGTTGATGCCTGTTTTCTGAATGAGCGTCCAACCATGTGATCTGAATCCCAGGTGACTATTGTTCTGACTCACCTTTTACTTTTTTACTGTGCTTTGGAGTGTCCATGTTATTCTTGTGTTTTGTAGACATTTTTGGTGCTGCAATAAATAAAGAGACATACAATTATGATTTTTATCTCCACAATCCTATTTATAGAAATAGGATTGTGGAGATAAAGTTAGGGCCCTGGGATCACCCTGGGAATTCGGGCCTGCTAATGATGATTAGAGGATCATGCAGTCAATTACAGAAAGATAATAGTAATAAACGAGTGAATAAGGTACTGAAAGTTGATATTTAAATAAATAAATAAATAAATGCAAAAAAAGCAACACCTTAAAATGCACTAGCCCAAAAAACACACTGTACTGAATAAACTATAAATTTAAGGTGCACTGTGTCTTTAAGATATATTAATTTATAACACACAAATAGAGTGAAATTGTAATACACAATATACAACTTCACCCTAATTAAAGTGACATTTCACATGAGCAAAAAAATGCTTAAATGTGCAATATAAGTAAAAGTGCACTAAACAAGTGCAAAACAAAAATGACTACATCAATCACGCCCCATATCCAGAGTTCAGAATGTGCCACCAAATTACCCTTAGAAAATATCTATAGTTTGAGTTTGGTGGATTTTCCAAAATTTTGAAGGAACCTTCCCACTCCAGTGAGCAGCCCCGATTGTCAGTTTACCTCTGTGACATTTACTGTTTGGGAATGATCGACCTCGTGTTTTATGAATCTTTGTGTGAATGCGTACACTACAGACACATTTAGTGGCATTAAGAAATTTGTCATCCTTAGATAGGGTTCTTTCTAACCTTTTCCAAATATTATTTCTTCCATGTTTAACAGCTTCTGGGCTCTGGGACTACTTGAATGTTGACTTGGAGATTCCTTATCAAAAGTTGCCATCTCCTCTGTGCTGAAGAGGAAGAGTTCTGTGGCCAATCTTGCAATAGTTGGCTGTTTCTCCAGTATCAACGTTTTCTTTGCATTGCTGCTGTCCTCCAAGTTGTCAACCACCACTATGACTCTTTTCTTCCCTATAATGACAGACAAACTGTGAAATGTCTAGATTATTAATCCACCTGCAGCCCTTTACCAATTAGACTCAGCTGTTCCTAATCAACAGGCTGTAAAACCCAGTTCTGCCTGAGGCCTAGTATCTGATTGTTTGTGTTTTCTGCTGGATGTAGGCTACCTTGCTGACTGGTTTCCTGGACTTTGACCTCTGCTTGCCTTACCGACTATGATATTCCGCTGCCCTGACTTCTGCTTCTCGCCTCACCCTGCCTTTGGATGTCCCCTTCATCAGTACTGTTCTTTAGTTTTGCCTCCTTGTGCCATCTCCTGCACCTGGGCTCCAACTCCCGGTAAACTGTGACACATTTGATGAGTATTTATATTCACTATAACAGTGACTTTAATGACTTCTTGTGGTTAGTTTTTTTGAAGATGTTTTACATCAGTTAGCTGCAATGCTGAACTGGGCATAAAAAGCTGATCTGAAAAAACATTTTAATTAATTCTCTGGTAAATGAAAGGTAAGTGGGCACCTGGCGCAGTCAGTACTGACCTTTAGGCAGATGTTTTTACAGGAACCCCCATCCATGAGATATTATATTAGAATGAGAGCCAGTCTTTTTTTTTTATAGGTATAAAGTTCTTAAATGTACATATACATGCACCTATTATGGTACATGTATCACAGAGTAAGCTAACATGGTATCCCATGTTATTCTGTGTTATCTTGTGTTATCTTGTATCTTCCCATGTAATCCTGTGTCGTCCCATGTTATTCTGTGTTACCTTGTGCTATCCGGTGTTACCCCATGTAATCATTGGGGAGTCAACAGTGTGCGTGACGTAGTTGTGAAAGGGTTAAAGTTCACTACTTGTCTGCACTAGACCGGAAATAATAACAAAATCCCCCTTAACACCACCCACACTTAAACATAATAATATAACCTTTACTATTTTAACTCTGCCACCACCAAGACAATTTATAAATGGGGTGCCGTGGTCTCCCAGTTAAATCAATAATAAAAAGCCACCAAATATAACTTAGCACAATATCTATGTAATTGCAAAATACTAATTAGTCTCTTCAGGTAATGTGATTCTTTCATCAGACAAAGGCAAAACTTAATATAGGAATATTTATTATGAGCAACAAGAATGGTCACAGTGCATACAAAAAATAGATGATAAACAAATTATTTACACCAACAACAGATAAAAACAAAAGGGATAAAATAACAGAAGTCCCTATCACCTATCACTTACTCAAAGTAACACTTCTGCCCCAGGGGGTCTCTGGTAGGAAAGATGGTGAATTGCTTAGAATTAGATTCCCAAGAAATTACCAGGCATACTTCAGTTTCATTAAAGATATACCTTGTGGATTACCACGCCTCACCCAGAGGTGGAGTTAAGGCGTAGAGACACTAAGCGACCACCCCCTTGTGTCCAGACCCCCATCAATCCAAATGAAAACATTTGGCTCTATCTTCTCTTATGTACCAGGCCCAGAAATAATAATTGCATCTATTAATTTATTATTTTTCCATTCCATAGATATGTCACACACCTTACTTGTGACCCAATATAATTGACATCACAATCCTTTCCTATGTGGTTAAGTAATGCTTTTATGTTTGGGCTTGTTGAGAACATGGTGTTTGTCCTATTCTAAATATAAAAAAATGAGGCTTCATTATTATGTGGGTACATATTACTGTTTCTTTTGGATATGATACTTGAACAAAAGGCTTATGATCATTAACATATCAAAGAAATCCTCTCATCAATGAAAAGGTACAGGCCAAATGGCTGAAGCTAGACATCAGGCTTTTCAAGTGTAGAATCTCACACCTTGCATCTTTTGACATTGACAATACCATCTCTGCCAGGCCAGCGGGACCTTAATTTATTACCCAAATTACATTAAAGGACAATATTCCATAGTGCAATAAATGATTTAGGCACCCTTGCCGTGACTATCCTGTGTTACCCCATGTAATCCTGTGTTATTCCATGCATCTTGTGTCATCGTGTTTTATCTCAAGTTAGCCTGTGTTATCCCATTATTCCATGTTAGCCTATGTGATCCCGTGTTATCTCATGTTATCCCACGTCATCCCTCTTACCGAGCTTATTTGACAATTTCTCCAGTTCCTTATCATACAGAGAGTCTGTCACATCCGTGATATTAATTCTTCCTCTGTTCTTCGAATGATACAAAATGGCAAAATGGCTTGAATGGAGTCCCTCGTTAAACATTTGGGAGCTGTTATTACCAATGTAAATTTTATTAACTTCCCGAACTCTGGGGAGAGACTGGAGATAGTCAGATAACCATTTGTATGTGTCGTCGCTTTCCCTTGAGAATATTCCAATTACTTTATTCGTCATTTTCTCCTTTGGTAATAGGACAGTTTCTGGAATTAAATAACGGGAAGGGTTTGATGAGGATAATAAATGGACATCTATGGAATAATTATCATGGATTAATGAACCTAGGATGAGTGCAACTGCTTGATAATCTAAAGACAGCCATGACTGCTATCAGCACTGCACTCACTATCACTGCATTCCCATAGCTCTGCCCAATCAGCACTGCATCTCTATAGCTCTACCCTATCAGCACAGCACTAACACGCTGCATTACCAATACTGCATCTCTGTAGCTCCGCCCTATCATGCATTGATACACTGCATTACTGGCACTAAATCTCTATGGTTCTACCATATCCAAACTTCACTAACTCACTGCATTACTGAGACTGAATCTCAACAGCTTTACCAAAACAGCACTGCACTAACACACTGCATTACCAGCACTGCATCTATACAGCTTTACCCAAACAGCACTGAACTAACATACTGCATCGACACAGCTGTAACCTTACAGCACTCCATTACCAGCACAGCATCTACACAGCTTTACCCTATCAGCAGTGAACTAACTGTATCTACACAGCTTTACCCAAACAGCACTGCACTAACACACTATATTACCAGCACTGCATCTACACAGCTTTACCCAAACAGCACTGCACTAATGCACTGCATCTACACAGCTTTGCACTAACACACTGCATTACCAGCACTGCATCTACACAGTTTTAACCAAACAGCACTGCACTAACAGGGCCCGTGCAAGGATTTCAGCCGCCCTAGGCAAAAAAAAAAATAGCCGCCCCATTCGTGTGGTATTGTGAGCCCCTGGCTTGAATCTATGCAGGGACAGAGACACTATATTATTCAGAATACAGGTTTATATTCCTAACACTATAGTGCTCCTCTAAAAGTATTGATTTAACAAAAAAATTAAAATGGTCCTTCACGTCCAAATGCAGTCACTGACACAAACATACACACACTCACGCACACACTCATTCACTCACTTACACTCAATGGTCCACACAATCAGAATCAGTGACCAATGCACACAAATTCACTGACTCGTGCAGAGTGACAGACACACACTGACCCAAGCAGGGATACACTGACTCATGTAGACTGCCATGCAGACACACACACACTGACCCAATCAGACACATACACACACTGACCCAAGCAGACACATACACACACTGACCCAAGCAGACACACTCACACACTGACCCAAGCAGACACATACACACACTGACCCAAGCAGACACACTCACACACTGACCCAAGCACACACATGCTAACCCAAAGAGACACAGAGACACTGACCCAAGCAGATGCGCACACACTGTTCAAAGTAGACACACACTGCCTCAAACAGACGCACATGTACTGACCTAAGCAGACACACACACCGATCCAAGCATACACAAACAGACTGATACACATTCTTTAAAACACACACACTAGTAAGTGCCCCTCTTCCTTTCATTTCACAATGAATCAGTCTCTCCGTGTGTCCCAGGCTTCTGGACTGCGCCTGGCTGCCTCCACTCTCTCTCAGCTCTGCCTCCGCTATCCTCCCGTCCACTTGACCCCGAGTGCAGGGGAAGGCTGGGAGGGATCGAACAATGCGCCTGTGCGCTGCCGTCATGAGAGGTGGGGGGCGGCTCTGTGAACTTTGCGGTCTGAGGTTGATGGCACCGGGCGCTAGTCTGCAGCTATGTAAGTGCTCCCTAGCGCCCGGTGCCATCACCTGCGGCATGAACTACAGACTTTAACCCAAATAGAGGGGAGGCAGCCCAAATCAGCAGTAAAGCTGCTGCTGGCGCCCCCCTTGAGAAGTGCCCTAGCTGGCCGCCTAATATGCCAAAAGGACGCGCCAGCCCTGTGCACTAACAAACTGCATCTACACAGCTTTACCCAAACAGCACTGCACTAACACACTAGAAATAGCTCTGTCTGGCACACACAGGGTTAAACTGTAGATTTCTGTATTTTGGGATTCACTCTGAAAAACTCGCTCGGTGTGCACACAGAGACTGTCTCTTTAGACAACCCCAAACCCCCAGTCTCATGTCCCTTACTGTCAAACTATTTCCCCATTGCTGACCCCTCTCCCACTGCCATCACCCAGACATTTATAACTGAATTTCCACCTACCAAACCTGAATTTCGGCCTTTGCTGTTTTTTTTATAAACCTCTACTTCCGTGAGATTCCTCAGAATGAAAGTGAAAGTAGAATAAACTCAGAACCAGTTACTGTAACAACAATGACATGGAGACGGTGTAACAGTAACATACAGAGCTGGGGACTCTTACCAATCCAGCCAAAATCCAGAGCCTGCCCCTCACAATACCACCCTCCAGGGGCGTACCTAGAGCATTTGGCACCCAGGGCGGATCCTGTGCTTGGCACCCCCCCCCCTCCCCTCCCAAAAAAAACCTGTAAAAAATGTTAAAGGTTTTATTTCTTTTATTTTTACAATTTGTAAACTTTGCAAAACCGCTGTCAGCCCCTCCTACAAAACCCTTGTCCTGCCCTGCCCCTCCTACAAAACCTCTGTCCTGCCCCTTCTACAAATCCTGTACTGCCCCATCTACAAAACCCCGGCAACCCCCTTCCACAAATCCCCTGCTTATCCCCCCTTATAAAGACTCCTGTCCCAATACAAAACCCCCACCCCCTTCTACAAAATCCCTGCAGCCCCACACACACATTTACAGGCAGACAGTCACACTCAGTTACAGACACAGTCACACACTCAGTTACAGACAGACAGTCACACACTCAGTTACAGGCAGACAGTCACACAGTCACAGGCAGACAGTCACACATACACATTTCCTCCGTGCGGCCAGTTTATCAGCTGTTTGCTTGAGTGAGCTGTACTGGCCGCACGGCACCCTAACTACCATGGGACACTGTGCGGCCACAGCTCACACAGCCCCCTCCAGCCAGGGCCGGTACAAGGATTTTTGCCGCCCAAGGCAAAAGTAAAGTTTGCCGCCCCCCATGTGACATCACAATGCCCCAGCCATATGATTTGCCATGTTAACTAACGCCAGTGCTGCAGTGCCGCCGTGTTTACATTAAAAGGCCTGCAGGGACAGGCTATAGACACCAGAACCACTACATTAAGCTGAAGTGGTTCTGGGGACTATAGTGTTTCTTTAATGTGAGGTAAATTAGAGCTTAGTGCCACGAATAATATACTAGATTGCCTACTTACAACCAGATGAGGATGATGATGGGCTCTAGCTGCAGTCTGGCTCCACTGGTCTGGTGCAGAACAGGCTCTCTGGAGGCGGTTTGTAACTGTGGTCACAAAAATCAATGTTCTGGGAGAACGGGAAGCAGCTCCATTTTTTGGGGGTCCTTTACACAGCTCAAGGTCTGGGTCCCAGGGTCCACCTTCATGTTCCACCAATGAATTTGTTCACAGGGGGTGGAGTGTGTAGGGGATGTCCTGATATGTGTGTAAGGAATGCATTGTGTGAAATTGTGTTTGTATGTGTAAGGACTGCAAGGTGTGTTTCTGTGTATGTATGGGATGCATTGAATGTGTGTAAGGGGTGCATTGAGTGTGTGTAATGAATGCATTGTGTGTTTCTGTGTGTGTAAGGGATGCATTGTGTGTAACGGTTGCATTGCTTGTGTATGTGTGTCTGTGTGTTTTTCTGTGTGCAAGGGGTGCATTGTGTGTATGTGATGAATGTCAATCTCTCCTCCCGCTCCAATTTCCTTCTCCTCCTCCCAATTTCTTTCTCACCCCCTCCTAATTTCTCTCACCCCCCTCCTTTCTCTCTCACCCACCTTCTTTTTCTTTCTCACCCCCCCTTATTTCTCTCTCTCACCCCCCCTTATTTCTCTTTCTCACCCCCCCTTATCTCTCTCTCACCCCTTATTTCTCTTTCTCTCTCACCCCCATATTTCTTACCCCCCATATTTCTCCTCCCCTTATTTCTCTTTCTCACCCCCCTTATTTCTCTTTCTCACCCCTTATTTCTCTTTCTCACCCCTTATTTCTCTTTCTCACCCCCTTATTTCTCACCCCTTGTTCCTCTTTCTCACCCCCCCTTATTATTCTCTCCCCTTATTTCTCTCTCACCCCTTATTTCTCTCTCACCCCCTTATCTCTCTTTCTTACCCTCCTTATCTCTCTTTCTCACCCCTTATCTCTCTTTCTCACCCCTTATTTCTCTTTCTCCACCCCCCTTATTTCTCTTTCTCCACCCCCCTTATTTCTCTTTCCCCCCCTCTCCCCTTCTTTCTCAGCCCCCCCTCTTCCCCTTCTTTTCTCCCCCTCCCCTACCTCCCTGTAGCGTGGCTGAGCCTGTATAGTCAGTGCAGGGCTTTGTTCCTGTACCCGGCCGGACTAACAGGAAGTGCACACTCAGTGTGCACTTCCTGTTAGTCCGGCCGGGTACAGGAGACAGCTGCTCTCTGTACCCATCGGACTAGCATGCTGCAGTGAGGGAGCTGACAGGAGCGTTCCCTCCTGTCAGCCCCTCTCCTCAGGCTGCGCCCGGGCGGTGCGGTCCGCCCTCATGGAAGCACCGCCCGGGCAAAGCTGCAGCCGCCTGAGGCTCTCTACAGAGCGCTCGGGCGGCTGCAGCATGGGGGGGCCGGCGGGGCTGGTCATGGCACCCCCCACCCTGGTGGCACCCGGGGCGGACCGCCCCCCCCGCTCCTCCCTTAGTACGCCACTGACTAACAGTATTACATATTCACTGCTTTTCAAGAGTTACAATCTGATTAACAATAAATCTAAATTATACACTCTTAAAAAAAATTACTAAATGCATGTAAAAACGAATAATAAAGTAGTATTAAAATCTAAATGTTAGATCTCAGTTAAACCAAGATGATGAATTTCTCAAACGCACAATATTTTTCACTCAGAAAATGTGATGATTCTTGGTGACTCATTCCAACCAGCTTAGCTTATATAATAATAAAAAAAAAGGTTAAATGGGTATTTTTTTGTATTTTTTATTGTCTACACATTTTTGTGTCTGAGACTTCTTGCCTTTCTGTTTCTAAGTTTATGGTCACAGCTGCAATAGTTAAAGTCACATTTATAGTACTACAGTCTCTGATAAGTCCATATGTACACAAGAACTTGAATGATACGCTTTCGACAGACATGGAAAAGTTTTTTTGAGGTGTGCCTATAAACCTACCAGTAAATGGACCAGCTGTACTCATAAATATACATTAGTGGCCTTAGCATGACTGCATTAAATAAAGTCATTCATAATAAATATATGGCTAGTCCATATATATATACTTTTAAGTATTATTTGCACTTATGAAATAGTTTTATAGAATACTGTCCAATTTATTATATCCTTCTAAAATTACTTAACAATGGGACATGAAAAGCCCCAAACCACATAACCTAATTAAATAAATTATTCCAAGATGTACTATACAAGCTGATCTATAATATTTGACCACCAAATCAGTACGACAAAGTAACTATATTTTGGGGAAAGATGTTTGAGAAAGGTGTTCATTTCTATCATTTAAAAAGAAGCTTTAGTTGTTAAATGCAATAATGCATAATATTATCATTAATAAAGCAAATAATACAATATTTTCATGATAAAGTTTGAGGTTAATTTATTTATCTTTTACATTCCACTTAAATGGGAATACAGGTATTTCTCTTGACTATATTGTGATCACGGATTTCTTTATAGAGCGATATTGTTTTTTACATAAAAGCTATATAAAAACAAGTCAATAAAATCCATTAAAGTGGTGCTTGATCATGGAGAACAAGCAACTGTATTATATTAAAGGGCCCTTCCGGGCACCAAAACCACTTAATGTTACTGAAGTGGTACGGGTTCTCAGAGTCCCATGGCGTTTTCTTACCTTCAAGTGTTAAATCACATAATAGGAAGTTGTTTCTTTAAGAATATATTGGAATTTGAAAATGTCCTATAATCCAAAGTTACTTTATCTAACTATATTACAGTGAGCAATATTTCTGTAGTAAAGCACTGTACTATGAAAAGCTGTTGTGAAGTAAGGCCATCAAATAAATAATGTGGTTATAGCTTGCATAGAGCAAGCAGACACATGTCACATTTCAGCCCAATAGAGAAGAAGCAATAAGGGGAACAATTATTTTTTTAACATTGAACTACTTAATCTGTCAATAATTTAGTGAGCCATATTTATGGCGTTCCATTATTCTCTCTGTATAAGCTATGAAGAAATGAGTTCATAAAATGAGAATAAGTGGTAGTTTTTTTGGCATGGGGGAATGCAGACACTTGTGAAATATCGACAATTAGAAAAGAAATTAAACACGTTTACAGAATTTAACTACTTATTCATGAAAGAATTAATATAATACATTATTAAATACATGAAACAAAAACTGGAAAAGTTGGTATCCTC